AGGGGAACAACATATCAAAAATCCAGCCTATTCGGGTAAAGTGTTCGGGAGTTATGGGTCTTTGAAGTTTTGACCGACCGCACAGACTTTCCAGCCGAAAATAGTTCCACAAGTTTTGGCCTTGCGGTCGGTCTCCGTTCGTGCATTAAAACCCTGTGAAAATCTTGCCATCCACAGTTATCATGATATTTGCTAGTATCCCCATGCATAGTTTAATCTTTCTACCGAACAGCTGGCCGTTCGGTAGTTTCAGCACGAATCCACGTTGTTATGGAGGTCTCAGTGGTGTTCGCCTGTTTGCGTAGCCATTTTTAGTTCCACACAATTTATGGCAAAACACCACTGTTCGTACGTAAGATGGCTGCGAAGGAAAACTATTTGGTTACGCGAAAACTATGAGATAAAGGGATCTTTAACCTTACAAAGATGGAGTTATCAGATCTGGAAATCCAGCTATTAGATAAAGGTCTTAAATTCACTCCTAATTGTACAGCAAATTAATTAGATTTATTTATAGATCTACAAAAATTTATTAGGAAACTTACCATTAAAAGGCATTTTTTTTTAAACTCCAGCTTTACACCCAGTGGGAGATATAATTAATAGCCCTCATAAATTAAAGGCATTTAGAGGAAAATCAACTTTTTATCCTAGTCACAATAAAGGTTCACACCTAGATACGTTTTGCAATTTGGTTAATAAAGACCTCCAATCCTTCAGCCATAATAAGAATTTTAGAACTAATCTAACTAAAAAGGAGTCTATGTGTCTAAAAAAATTAATTAAGAGAAAAGACATCATAATAAAAGAAGCAGATAAGGGAGGAGGAATTGTCATTCTAACAAAAGATCAATATTTGAAAGAAGCGTATAATATTCTTAATGACACCAATACTTATGTTAAACTTAAAAACAACCCTACAGAAAATTTCAATCAAGCACTAGATATAATTTTGAAAGAAGCATTACAACAGGGAATTATTACAGATAGAAACTATATCTATATCTTACATCCAGTTACTCCTATTTTTATATTCTGCCGAAAATTCATAAATCCCTCATAAACCCACCTGGCCGTCCTATCATTAGAGGAATAAATTCAATAACATCAAATCTTTCAGCATTTATTGACTCGTTTCTACAAAGTTATGCTCAACAAGCTCTTTCATATTTAAAAGATACTAAGACTATATTACAAGAATTAGAAAATATTGAATGGAAGGAACACTATAGTTGGGCTACCCTAGATGTCTCATCTCTATATACCGTGATCAAACACAATTTGGGTATTGAAGTGGTAGCTCATTACCTTAAACAAGATAGTAGTATCTCACAGCAATTAGGGGACTTTATTTTAAAGTTAATTGTATTTACCATATTTATCGGCGTATAACACGCTCCTCATTTTAAGAAGGAAATTTCAGGAAAAAAACCCTTAAATTTCAAATAAAGAACTTCTTACCCCCTTCTTACTCCCCCCTCCCCCTCTTCTTACCCCCCTTTCTTACTCCCCCCTCCCCCTCTTCTTACTTCCCTTCCCCCTCTTACCCCTTCTTACTCCCTCCCCTCTTCTTACTCCCTCTTCTTACTCCCCTCCCTCTTCTTCTTACTTCCCCTTCTTACCCCTTACTTCCCCCTCTACCCCCCTTCTTACTCCCCCCTCCCCTCTTCTTACTCCCTCTCCTCTCTCTTCTTTCTCAGGAGAAAAAAAGTGTGTGTTATACATAAATACGGTATTTTGGAGAACAATTACTTTCTGTTTGATGATGATTATTATTTACAGATCACGGGACTGCCATGGGGACCAGGTTTGCCCCAAGCTATGCAAACATCTATATATGAGAAGATGGGAGGACCTAACTGTTTGGTCCAGGCATGGCTGGGGCAAGACCTGGTCTTCTTTCTTACTCCCTCCCCCTTCTTACCCCTCCCTCCCTCTATTTACCCTCTTCTTCAGATGATAACCGCGGTAGCCGGGAAGGTGCGCTCAGTGTGCACCTTCCTGTCAGTCCACTGGTTAGAAATAGAAACTCCTGTTCGCTGAACAGGAGTTTCTGTTTCTGTATTCGTCGACTGACAGGAAGGTGCACACTGAGCGTGCACCTTCCTATCACTCCACCGGCACCGCCATGGACAGCAGAGCAGCTCGGCCACGCTACAGGGGAGGGGAGGTGAGAACCAACTGCAGCCGCCTGACCGCTCTTGACAGAGCGCTCAGGCGGCTGCAGTATTTAAAGGGCCGGCGTATAACACGCACCCATAATTTTCCCCCTATTTTCAGGGAGAAAAAGTGCGTGTTATACGCCGATAAATACGGTATTTTGGAGAACAATTACTTTCTGTTTGATGATGATTATTATTTACAGATCACGGGGACTGCCATGGGGACCAGGTTTGCCCCAAGCTATGCAAACATCTATATGAGAAGATGGGAGGACCTAACTGTTTGGTCCAGGCATGGCTGGGGGCAAGACCTGGTCTTCTGGCGGCGTTATATAGATGATATACTTATTATTTGGATTTGTTCAGAAGCTTCTTTTTTGGATTTTACACCATACTTAAATCAGAACACATATAATCTTAAATTCACATCAGAATGGAGTAGAAACAAAAAAAACTTTTTGGGTGTAACTCTCTCTAACAACGGATCCCGTGTTGCCTCAAAATGTTATTTTAAGAAGACAGATGGTAATAGCTATGTCCATAGACAGAGCTGCCATTATGACCCGTGACTCCACGGTATTGCAGGGAGTCAATTTACACGAGTACGACGTAACTGTAGTAATTTGTCAGATTTCCATCAACAGGCCAATATAGTTAAAGAAAAATTGATTTCTAAAGGATATAATAAACAACACCTTAAAAAAGAAATAGATAGAAACAGTCTACTTATGGACAAACAAAAAAATAATAGTGGGACGGATCAGTCAAAAAATAAATTTGAATATGCTTTTTTAACTAAATTTAATTCAGATCATTATAAAATAAAATAAATGCTGACTAAACATTGGCATATTCTTAACGAATATCAGATCCTAGGTAACTTTCTCCCACAATATCCGCCTGTAATTTATAAAAAAAAAAAAAAAATCTTAAAAATTATTTGGCTCCAATGTATAGTATTAAACCTAATAAATTACCATCTATTAGACAATTAGTGTCAGGTTTCAATAGTTGTTTACAATGTAAAACTTGTAATACTATGACTGCCAATATGAGAACAGTGAAAGATTTTGTTAGTACAATCGCTAATAAAAAGTATAAAATCTAGGAGAACATTGATTGCCACATGGACTATGTAATATATTTATTGCAATGTCCCTGTGGCAAACAATGTGTAAGGAAAACTAAGAGGAAATTTAAAATCAGAATTATGGAACATCTAAATAATATTAAGAAGAAGATCACAAATCATAGTGTCACCATACATTGTAATGGGTGCCCAGCTTTTAATTGGAAAGGGTTGCGATTTATAGGGATAGAACACATTAAACCACATTGGCGAGGGGGAAATAGAGAAGAGAGGTTGTCACAGAGAGAGACATTTTGGATACACCAACTTAATACATTAGAACCAAAAGGATTAAATGTTGATATAGATATTATTTGGTTTTTTTTTGTAATGCATTGGGAAACATGTACCAATACTAATTACTCACTTATTTATTTATATATTTTCATATATTTTTTTATATATATTTTTTTTATATATATATTTTTTATATTTTTTATACTTATATGTTATAGTCTTTATACTTATATAATATCATAAATTGGACTGTTTTTTTCCCTTTGCTAAGAATGATAAATTTGTATTAATTTGGGTATGAGAATGAGTGTCCAGTTTTATCTCCAAATGGAGTTTGAATATACATATAGTTTTTTATATCGGGTCTATTTTTCCATAGGGGGAGGATAAACTGGACACTATTCTTAAGCTATTATTATATAGACATGGTTAATTAATTATATTTACTTAAATGAAATATATTAATCACATATAAATTATTGCTTGCTAGCTCATTCGATTTTTTAAGATAGATATTAATAGTACATCAAAGGTGGAACGCAGAACAGCCACGTGGAACGCACACGTTATCATAGTGCGCCCTGGAAAGATGGCACACCGTAAATTACGTTGAAAATCCGGAAGTGAATGCTGATCATACTGGGCGATTTGAATTTCATTAAGGAAGATTAAGAACAGCTGAGTGACTCGTGGAAACACCCGAAACTACAATGATCAAGAGCCATTTATAAAGAGAGACTCGGGGGGGAGGTTATATTCTGCTTCATAGTAATTTATTATTCTGTTAAATTATTTTATTGCTTTTCATTTTATGTTGCTATACACTTTGGGAGATTCCCTGTGGAAGCCCTATTTTGGGTGAAATATGTAGGATAACTCCTTAGCAACTTTTGTATTTTTAAAGCTTTCTTAGCTTAATTTTATACTTTGGATTAATAAAGCAGTTTTTTTTTCCTGCATCCTGAGTCCGGCTCTTCAGATTAAGGCGTCCTGGCTATAGCCCCCCATACCATCAGGGGAGGCACCTTTCTGCGATTTATTCCATCACATCTTGTGAGTGCACTCTAATCTTGTGTATTTTATTATGTTATAACAGTATAACGCTATGTTTTGCCTTTTGCTATACTTGTAGATCTACAGCCACTTTCTCCTATAAGTTTGCCGTGTCTTGTATCATATTAAAGGAATATTGTCTGGGATATTCCTGGAGAGGGCTACCACTATCTAAGAAGATAAGTGTGTTTTTTCCATCACATAATTGTATTTCTTAAGTGTTGGATATATCTTTTGTGTGAATTTATGTAATCAGGGGAGCCTTGATAAGTCAAGCAACTATACACAAAATCAAACAAGTAGCTCACCTGGAACAAACACTACAGACCCTCAGGACCCTGGAAGCCAAACATAGAATAGACCCTACACAAGAACTAAATGACCAAATCAAAAAATGACAAACTGATATTAAAGAATACATGGTGAAAGACTCGGCCAAAGCACTTCTCTGGTCAAAACTATTTTATTACGACAAAGCAAACAAAGCCGATACACTACTCGCGCGCAGACTAAAACAAAGATCTGAAAACAAGCAGATACATAAAATAACAACACCAGGGGTTACCACAGAGGACCCGGATGAAATCGCCAAAGTCTTTCAAAAATATTTTGAAACTCTGTATGACCATGATCCAAACACACGACAACACCCAACATCGACCAAAACATTAATTGACCAATACTTGAAACAGGTACCCTCCCTCCCTACAGAGGCAGCACAAGCTCTATCCAGCCCCATAATGCCGGAGGAAATCGCAAGGTCAATAAAATCACTAAAACCCAACAAAAGCCCGGGCCCTGATCGGTTCACAGGACTCTACTATAAGACATACGCCCCTACTTTAATCCCACACCCATGTAACCCATACAACACCATACTACAAGGCGACCCACTACCAAGAGAAATGCTACAAGCTAATGCATGCCTCCTCCCCAAACCTAATAAAACACACCTTGAACCAGGACACTACAGTCCGATCTCACTCCTACACGTCGACATCAAAATGTTCACCAAAATCCTCGCAGACCGCATCAGCCCCCTCCTACCCACAACTAATTCATCGAGACCAAGTAGGCTTCATACCGGCATGACAGGCTGGCGACAATACAAGACGGACATTTGACCTTATCTGGACGGCACACACAAGACATATCCCAACCCTCCTTTTATCATTAGATGCCGAAAAGGCCCTTGATAGATTGATATGGTCGCCACACTAGAAAAATTTGGATTCTCACAAAGATTCATAAACGCCTTACAGGTAATATACGCTACACCACAAGCTCACCTCCTACTCCCACTCACGCACCCCCTTCCTTTACAATCCACAACAGCACACACCAGGGATGCCCACTATCCCCAGTGCTTTTTGCACTATCATTAGAACCACTCTTACAAAGGATATAAAAGGCATAAAAATATGCGAGGAAGAATATAAAACAGCAGCCTATGCAGACGACCTGCTTATCACAATCACGGAACCAGCAAAATCCATACCGCCACTTCTTACCGCCCTGGAAACATACTCACGAGTTTCAGGATACAAACTAAACATTGATAAGATGGAAGCCCTCCCAATACACATAGACCCGCCCACTAAAACGGCCATACACAAGATATACCCATTCGACCTAGCACCCACCAATATAAAATACCTGGGGATATCCATACCGGCGGACCTCTCCCTCTGCTATGAATTGAATTACATACCCACGATACAAAAAATCAACCGCGACATAGCCACATTGCAAAACATGCCAATATCCTGGCTGGGAAGGCTGGCCTCAATCAAGATGAACGCCCTACCAAGACCATTATATCTGTTCCAAACCCTCCCGATCCCAATACGTAGCACAGACTTCAAATAGCTGCAAACCAAAATTGATAAATTCATATGGGCCAACAGATGCACCAGAATAAAAAGACAAACCTTATACGTACCCAACAAAGCAGGGGGTTTAGGCCTATCACATCTTACCCAATATTACCATGCTGCCCAGCTAACACAAGCACAAAACTGGCACGCCACACCGGGAACCAAAAGATGGGTAGACCTTGAACATGACATCTTTGGTAGAGACTTCCCTTCCCTGTACATATAGCTACCGAAACCAGCGACACCCTCCTACCCCAGACATCCCCCGCAATCCTCAACACCATCAAAATTTGGTACAAAATAACCCACAAAAGCGGGCTAACGACACAACCCCACTACTCCGGAACACACAATTCCCCCCGGGAATGACACCTAAGGATTTCAAACACTTCAAAGAAAACGACCTAACTCAGCTACACCACTTCTACAAAGACCACCAACCGATCCCATTCACAGACCTCCCACAAAAAGCACCATTCCGCACTTTTGACATGTTCCGCCACTTACAAATTAGAAGCTTCTCAGAAACGCTGACAATTAAACAGACGATAACCAAAACAATAACACCTTTTGAAAAACAATGCATACAAACACCAACACAAAAATGCCAAATATCGGCGCTATATTCACACGTAATACAACACATAAAAGAAGGAGCACTCACATATGTGTCGGCTTGGGAGAGGGATATAGGGCCAGCGGAAGACCCATCCAACTGGGCTGAAATATGGGAAGCCACAGCCACCATCTCAATCTGTGTTAACCACAAAGAGCTATAAAACTCAGTTGGGCAGGTCAGACAATGACTTGTGCTGGAAAGGCTGCGGACACAAGGGCACATACCTACACACGTGGTGGTAGAGCACCCATACAGCACAGCTATGGCACCAAATAGCAGCCATGGTCTCCCAAATCCTACATACAGATTTACCACTTAACCCATGCACATGGCTTTTGTCCAAACCCTTGGCAGACACACCAAGGGCCCAAAACAAACTAATCACCAAAATCGCATTAGCCACAAGGAGAGCAATAGCAGAAAAATGGGGAAGCCCAGACACACCATCAATAGACACAGTCAAACAGAAAATAAAAGATGCCATCAAAATGGATGAAATGTCCGCAATGGTCCACGACACGACCAAATACTTCCATAAAATTTGGGACCCATGGTTCTACGAATTCCCAACACTACCCTAAACGTCAAGGGACCAATCACACACAAAGACCCACAAACACCACATCGACCCAACGACCCAAACCCCCCTCCCACCCACGAGTCCACTCTGGGCCCTCTCCTCAACCCACCCTTCAACAATTACCACACTCCTCAGAACCAGAACACACCCCACTACAACCCATACAAAGGCAACATCTCGCAACACACTTCCCAAGGAACAACCCGACCCACCAAACCAAAAACACCCACACCACCCAATAGGAACCTTACACCACAAAGGACACCAATAAACCCGTGAACACCAAATCTGACTAATTTACCACACGAACACAGCAACAATGGCGAGCTAAAACAAAATCACAAGAAAAGGATCACACTCCAAACATGGACACTTCATCGCAACAACTGAAACAGTCACAACCGCAAGACAACACCTACTCCCACACCCCAATACACCACCAACAGCCAAGCAAGCAATGACTAACACACACTCAACACAAACCTACGGGCTGCAAGAAGACTCACATACGGAGTACACACACACCCCAACCACCCCCCGACCTGGCAACCTCGAAGAGAAGTGACACAATCCTACAACCTAACTACCCAGCCCAAACCAAAACACAACCACAAAGTGCTCAAAAAAACTCAACATAAAACCGATCAAGATGACTCATAGCCTGAACAACAACAAAAGGACACCACAATAGGGCACCCTACCCCCTCCCTTCTTTTTTCTGTACCCCACCCCAACCAGTAGACCAGAAAACAACTATGAAGAACAAACGATGAAGCAATTGTAACACGAGTGAATAACAAAAACTAAGCACAACAGATGAAACCACTTGCATTGATGTAAAGTATTTTGGCACTGTTTCCCTTTGATTTAAAGCGAAGAGTTGCCCACTATTTTAACTCTTATAGAACCTTAAGGATTATTAGAGGATGTGTATTTCACACATTATAAAATATAATTTATTGTGACACTTAATAGTAATATGTAATAAGTAATCAGTGAATATTTAGTATAACAATAGTATAAAATATGGCAACAATTATAGCACAACAACCACAATAAAGAAATTTCTAAATCACTTAAGGATGATGAGATTGTTAATCTACATAGAAATTATCCTCTAGTAGGATCAGTATACTGAGTATTGGTACAAGTTTTCAAGACATGAATAATCAAATAGCTTATTAGCAACAGTATACAGCAACATAACATTAGACTAATTTCTAACTTTTTTGTAGATATGAATCACTTTATTAGGAAATGATGCTTATTTTTTTTTTTTTAATAATAAGATAGTACAAGTGCCTAAAGAAAATATGGATGGGGGCGGAGCCAACTGCCTAACGAGACGGACGCACATTAGGAGAGCTCTGGAGCATTTGCCTTGTTAACGGCAGCTACCGGCCACAAAAACCCAAGATCGACGACCAGACTAAGGACTTACCTACTCCACACCTGATGGGGAAACGATCCAAAAACTCTGGGCCGATAGGAGCCCAGGAACCCGAGATATCGGCACGTTTATGTAGCAGCCTGCAAGGCCCGCACCGACAAAGATTGCGCCGGTGGCGGTCTCCACCTCAGACTCCTCTGATGCAGATCACTTACCAGAAGACTTCTCCACCTTCCCAGACGTACATAATGCCACACAACAGCTCCCAATAGCCACAGACCCCCTCAACCAAGGCAGACATTAAAGCCCTTCTATGCGAAATACGGGCCATGTTTCAAGCAGATGTGGCTGGGGTGCGGGAAGAGGTGGCCACCCTTACTGACAGGCTTGTCAGAATAGAGGATGATATGGACACGACAAAAGTGGCACAATCAGCCACAGACACTGCCCTTAGCTCACTGCAAAAGAGCAATGCGGGCATGGGGAGTCCCAGAGACCATAACTACTGGAGAACTGCCTCACTTTATCAGAAGACTCCTTTCCACACTGCTTCCCCCAAAACAGGCAAAACAAGTTGTCATGGATCATTGCTTTAGACTACTTAAGGCCCCTACAGCCCCTCCAGAGGCATCGAGAGACATCCTGGTTAAACTTGTTCGAGACTCAGACAGGGGCGCTATCCTGGGGGCGACCAGAGATTCCCCCACCACCGCTTTCGAGGGTCATCAACTGACGTTTTACAGGGACATATCCCGTCACACCATTGCCTGGCTGCAGTCACTCCGCCAACTTACTCAGCACCTCCGGGACAGCAAGGTGCCATATAAATGGGGCATACACAAGTTTACAGTCGAAAAGGGGGGCAAGACACACTCAATTACCCACCTCTCTGAATCACATTGCTTATTAAGGGAACTGGGACTGCCCGAGAGCACCTTCCCCTTGCCGCAACAGCCCTCATGGTCTGTGGACCAGATCACCCCATTTGTCCCCAGAGAGACCGCAGGGGGATCCCGGGACACGCCAACGTGAAGTGGACTTTCACACTACCCTGTTCAACATTCAACATCCAATTACGCTCAATGTGAACTCAAATCGCTCCTCTCTCTAATTGCTAGCGATGACACAATATATTGTTTCAGGGTTCCCACAATCCGATTTGGCTCCGATAGTTGAAGCTACTCTATCTATGACAAGTTGTACACTCCCCACCCCTACCTACCTAG